CCTCCTCCTCCTCCTCCTCCTGCTCCTCCTCCTCCTCGTAGGGGGTGGGTGGGTTTTGGTGAGGCTGCTGGGTCTGGCTGATAAAGCAGATTGATGGTCGGAGGTTCTGCTCTCAGACGGTTGGTTTTCCCGGATCCGTCCTCCTCCTGGTGTCGGTCCAGATGGAACCTCCTGTCAGCCAGAAGGAGACGCGCTGCCTGCTGCCTCACTGAACGGAGCAGCTTTAAGGTGAGGAGAACTTCTGGAAGATATTTACAGGTTTGGGTCAAACATGACCTCTGGTTTATATTCATGCTGCTTCTATTTCTAGAAGATCAGAGTTCTAGAAAATGACTGAATTCTACTTTTTTCAGAGTCTCTGTGATCAGTGGGTCCAGCCGGTCCTCTCTGTTAGTCAGAAAATAAAAAACAAAGGATAGGCAGTGGGTCAATGAAGAAAGTTTGATCAGTTTTTGATCAGGGATTAATGATGGGGCCCTCAAGGGCCAATTCTGCCCTGCTGACATCTGTTGATCAAATTTTTTTCCAGTTCTTTGATTGAAGATGTTTTTTTATATCTCATATTTAACGAGACCCGATCCAAGTTAAATCAGTTCAGTTCATTTTTTTCTATAGCTGGAATTCACACCACCTGCTACAGCTTTAGGAGAAAACTCATAGATCGTAGATTCATAGATCATAGATTTATAGATCATAGATATATAGATTCATAGATGTATAGATCATCCAGTCAGACTGGGTCAATTTTATAACCAGCTGATTGTAATTACACTCTATTATATGACAATAATTATAACACTAATATAATATAATATAGTATAATATAGCATAACATAATTTTAAAGTATAATTTACAATATTGTATTATTATTATAATATAATATTCTATTCTATTATTTTATATCGTGTTAATCATGCATTAAATTTTGTATCTGTAATTGAACTAGAATGGGGCCCTTGGTCCCTCCAAATGTTCATGACAGAAAGAAGAAGAAATAAAGAAAAAGAAATAAAACATAAGAATGGATTTAAGAAATTTAATCTGTGGTGATTTTATTATTTTCTTTGATTGTATTTAATTTAGCTTTTTAAAATCTGGTTTATGTGGGTCAGATCCTGACCTTCATCATCGCTACAGGGACACACAGAGTGGGTCACTTGGGTCACAGTGGG